ATCAGTCATTAGTTCGCCTTATATTCTTAAGTCAACTTTACTAGTACAGTATAACTTCTCCCTCAAGTTCGACTATTTATATATATATATGACCAAATATGATATGAATGAAAAGTTCATTATACTTTATAAAAGCTATTCTATCAATTCTTTTTATTATCTTCCATTCAATTATAATGTCTATTCTTTTCATCATAAAGTACATCAAACTATCAACTGATTAGTTAGTTCTATTATTCATTATTACTAAATAATAAATAGTTTAATAATATAATAGTAATAAAAAATAGTTCCTATCAGAAATCATTATAAATTTCCCTTAGATTTATTTATAAATAATAATAATAATAATAATAGTAATGATAATAGTAATAATAATAGTAATAGTAATAGTAATAATGTAATAATAATAGTAATAATGTAATAGTAATAATAATAATAATGGTAATGATACTAATAATAGTAATAGTAACAATAATAATGGTAATAATAGTAGTAATAATAGTAATAGTAATAATGGTAATGATAATAGTAGTAATAGTAATAGTAATAATAATAATGGTAATAATAATACTAATAATAATAATAATAATAGTAGTAGTAATAATAATGAATAAAGTGGTCTAATGTGTTCTATTAGTTAATAAACCAATCTCTATTCTTAAGGACAATTTTAATTTTTATTACTGTGATTATAAACTGATTTGTTGACTTGGTGAAAGAGATTAAAAGTTTAAATGTTCACTATTTAATGGTTTTTAATATAAAAAAAACAAAAAAAAAATAAAGAATTCATTAGTTTTATAAGTAAAGATGGATAGTGGTTAGTAGTGGAATTAAAGACTTGCTTTTCATCCTATTTAGGATTCGTTAATTGGATGTAAAGTTTGTGACCTAAGGCAATTCTAAGGCAATTCGCACAGGATGCATATATACCAATAAGAGACTGATCAATTGCAATCCTAAATAACAATGGGAAGATACAAATAAAACAACATAAAGTGAATTTAAAACTTCACCCCATTGCACAAATAGGTAGCTATCAGGACTTAGTTGCTAAGTGAATAACGTGATGGCGTTTGAAGTGACCGGTACTGAGTTCGAGTATCGGAGTGGACATTAACTCCGAGATTCAGGTACATCCAGATGACGAGACTTATACTATGATACTCATTAATCTATTACCAAAATGTAATATGCAATATGTAATATATAAGAGATAACTACTTGTACATATGTTTTAGAGAATAATGCTATTGTCAACTTTTTCATAAACAAACGTTTCAATACGAATCCTATCATTCATGGATGTGTTAAGGATAAACTCCCACTTTAAGCCATATCAATGTGCATCTATAAATTTACTTGTTCCTATGGGGTAGGTTACATTGACCGCACAATGCGATGATTTTTCAAACGCTTCTTAGAACACTATCCAGCATGGCTTTTAAATGGAGAATTTAAAACAATTACTAGTTCTATACAGGAGCATTTATTCAACTGTGGACACATTACTCCAAAGGAATTTTCTTTTAAAGTAATCTATACAGTCAAAGAAATTGGATCTATGGGAAGTCGAATCAATATTTTATGCATTACTGAGCCATTGGCAATCCACGTATTCAAACCTGAACTTTACGTGCAAAAACGATTCGTCCTACCTCTCATTCTTCATTGGCCTTAATTGCCCTATGCAGTATGTTTCGTTTATTTTACCTTTATTAATGATTTTCCAAATTAATGTTTTGTAATTTTAAACTGTAATCAGTGATTATTGCCCTTTAAATAAGTTTTCTTGATTGTTATTCAGTTTCAACAGTTGAGATCATGAGTCAATTGAAGCTAGACCACCATGGTAAACCTGGAAGCACTGGAAGGCTGTTTCGTCCTATTGTGGAACTTCTCAGCAGTGCACATTCACGACCCCACCTCACGAGATTCGAACCCAGGACCTATCAGTCGAAATTACTACAATCTCCACAAAACCCCTTCTGATGTTGTTCAGTTATTATTATGACCTTTATGTTTGTCGTTTTTTGTTTTTACATTTGACAATTGGACCCATAAACTATTTTTTTCCTTACCCCCTTATTATTGCGTAACCTCATTTAATAATATGAGTCTCGAATCAACTTATGATACAATCTTTTCTATCCTTCTATAAATATGTTTTTTCCATATAACTATAAATACGAATATACAGCTTAGGTAAATGATTTCGTCGAAAAGAAACTTTTCTTTGCTGAATTTTTATTTAATGATACAATGGGTTATTACAATTATCTGAATGTAGATGTCTTAGAAAACATAAAGCGTGATATATTATCTACCAGCTGAACTGCCATTAATTACAACTACACTGGTTTAAGCAAAGATTGAGAGTGGTTAGCAGTGGAATCGAGAATACCAGTTTCGTCCTGTTTGGAACTCGTCAGTTGGATGTACCTACATCTCAGAGTTGATTTTCACTCCGAGACTCGAACCCAGTACTGTTTGCATTAAACGCCATCGCGTTATTTACCTAGCTACTGAGTCCTGATAGCCACCTGCTTGTGAAATGAGGCAAAGTTTAAATTCAAGTAAAACAACACCAAGTGAATTTAAACTAAACTGATTGTTTTGACATTAAAAAACAGTGGGAAATGTTTATTGATCCGTTTTATAGTATCTATGTTAAGAAATTAGACAATGTTTCAGTGAAATTTGACTATAACTCTTCAGATATTTAACACTGTCTTGGCCTGTTTACTAGTCCTAATCAAACTTCACATATCAGAAACTACATTGTAATAAGTATAAGTAACTAAACATTAAAATAGTGTAATATATTAGTGAATTCTTGTAAGGTTAAGTGTAATCATCAGTATTCTACATTGTTTAACATTATATTACGTAATTTTTCAAGAGGAAAATCATAACAACAGTGTTGCTCATTTACAGAAAATGTATTTTGAAATAATAAAAATTCGTTCAACCTTCACTGATAATCTTTATAAGTTGAGGTTACATTGAACTAGTTTCAGGTATCAGTTATTATTTTAAGAAAAAACATATTTTTACCATATGAATTAGTTGAAGTTAAACATTAACACCGTTGGATGCCGGCCGTCTCAGTGGTCTAATGATTAAGCTCTGACGCGCAAGACTGATAGGTCCTGGTTTCGAATCACGTGAAGCGGGATTGTGAACGTGCACTACTGGGGAGTCTCATACTGGGACAACACAGCTGACTGTCCATTGCTTCCAGGTTTTCTATGGTGGTCTAACTTCCGTTGACTAATAAATTCAACGATTAAATTAATACGTATTCTTGTTGATAGTAAATTAACTAATAAAGGAAAACACAATACTATTTTGTTTAAAAATTCCTAGGATTCGATTATGTAGACAATTTATGAAGGACTCTGATGAATTTGACGATAATACTCACTGATAAATCAATACCATTCATTTAATGAATTCAATAGAAAACAGTATTCACTTAGGTTTAACGATTAAAAAATCTCACTTTAAAATCTTACACAGTTTATTAATCACCATGGTACCACTAGTTAATCAAAATGTTCCAAATGGTTTGCAATATGAGAATAGAAATAGAAAGGTGTATTTTTTTTATCGATTAATAATCGAATATGCGAAATAAATAGTGGAAAAACATTTTTGTTGTTGGTTGATATTCATATTTATATATCAACGAATAGGTTGTGTTTTGTTGCTACTTAGTTTCAAGTTTTCAATTAAATCCTGTTGAATAAGCTAATTGAAAAGAGTAAGAATAAAGATTGCAAACAGAATAGCATGAATTCATTTCTATTTCGTCTAGTTCTCATCAATTGCTTACAATCTGTGATAGTTAAAAATCATAATTATACAAATAATGGGATTCAGATGACTTTCATGAGAGGATTTGGTTGGAAGTTATTGTGAAAACATATTCTACATTGTTTAACATTATATTACGTAATGTTTCAAGAGGAAAATCATAATAAAAATGTTGCTCATTTACAGAAAATGTATTTTGAAATTGGTTGAAGTTAGACATTAACACCGTTGGATGCCGGCCGTCTCAGTGGTCTAGTTGGTTAAGCGCCTGGCGCAAGACTGATAGATCCTGAATTCGAATCTTGCGGGGTGGGGTGGGTCCGTGGATACTCACTGTTGAGGAGTCCCATACTAGGACGAAACGGCCAGCTGTCCAGTGCTTTCAGGTTTTCCATGGTGGTCTAGCTTCAACTGACTCATGGTTTCAACCAGTGAAAACATATTCGTATAATATAGCAAGGGGGTAAATAAATTAAATAGACTGAATATTGTAAATATATACCTTATATAGAAGAACGTTCTACAACATTGATTGTGACAACAGTTCAAACGGCTAGAAACAAGTGATTACAACATAATGAGTAAACGTTGAGAGGAATATAGTGAGTAGAGCTCATTTGATAGATCATTGAAATAATAATCGATAATGCAATAAATGCAGGAAAGAGTTAAAAAGAATGATTAACGGAACTATGGGTATGAACAAGCAAATTCATAGAATTTATGATAGATAACACTTAACAATTAGAAATTCAAAGTGACCTGTAAGAAGTATCATTTTAATTGTGTTTAATATTGTTTAACATTTGTTAATCAAAGTTCCATTCTATTTTATACAAACTTCTTTAAAGATTCTACTGATTCTACATAGGACAGAGTGGATTGGAGAGTGTTAGTCGGCGGCCTATACTCTATTGAGAGTAACAGGCGTAAGTAAGTAAGTAATGACTCTAGCTAACAGAGAGGTTAAACATTACCAATAGATTCATGACTAACTAAACTTACATACTAAACAAACTATCAATGGAACCCTAACTAAGAAAACAGGAACTACTATTAATTCCAAATTCTTTTACAGTCCTTCCAAATCCAACTACATTAACATAAAATACAAAACTCTTTTTTCAAAAAGTATATCATTTACAAATAAATTAAGATTCATTCATTCTTTTACTTACCGCTTTACCTCCTCTATTGACCAATGAAGGTCCTATTAAATTATGAGGTTGTGGTCCACTTGTCATTCTTTTACTTTTTTGCAATTCAACTTATTACTGTATAATTATTAACTGATAACAATGAATAAAGATAATTAAAATGTAAATATTCGATAGACTACTATTATAGATAATAATTTAATTTTTACTACCATATCTCATTGGTTATTTAGTCAACTTATTAATGATTGGCTCATCTTTATTACTTATTCCGTATGTTTGACAAATTTATAAATACAAAGTTGGGCCACCATACACCATTATCTTTAGTGAGTTGATATCTCACAACAAACCTCGTTGAACTTCACTGGTAACGGCTTCTCACTAGAATTCCAGGAGTATCTCTTGAAGTCAGTCACTAGTGACCAGATGATTATTATCAGAAAGGGTTTTGTGGAGATTTTAGAAATTTCACTGATTAAAATCATGATTCAGTTGAAGCTAGACCACCATGGAAAACCTGGAAGCACTGGACAGCTGTTTCGTCCGATTGTGGGACTCCTCAGCAGCGCCCGTCCACGATCCCGCCCACGCGAGATTCGAGCCCAGGTCCTATCAGTTACTCACACGAGCGCCTAAGCATTATACCACTGAGGCGGCATCGTGGATGCGCACTGCTGAGGAGTCCCTTACTGGGACGACACAGCTGGCTGTCGAGTGCTTCCAGGTTTTCAATGGTGGTCTAGCTTCAACTGACTCATGATTTCAATCAGTGAAATTTCTAAAATCTCCACGAAACCCTTTTTGAATATTTATAAATAGTTAAATTCACAAGTCGATCAAAGCTAGATCAATTTTTTGAAAAGTGAAAAGTACTGGACAGCCGTTTTGTTTTGGTATGGAACTCCATAACAGTTAGCATTCATGATCTTGCTCGTAGAATTCGAACCCAGGTAGTGATTCACTGAAAACAGTGGTAGATGGTGGTACAATTTCGTGAATTGGTTGAAGTTAGACATTAAAACCGTTAGATGCCGGCTGGCTCAGTGGTCCGGAGGTTAGGCGCTCGTGTGAGACCGATAGGTCCTGGGTCTGAATCCCGCGAGCGGGATCACTGATGCGCACTGATGAAGAGTCGCACAGTAGGACGAAACGGCCATCCAGTGCTTTCATGTTTTCCATGGCGTTCTAGCTTCAACTAACCCATGATTTCAACTATTAAAAGCTTACTATAAGATCCACAAAACCCCCGTTCCGAAAATTTACAAATAATCTTTTTTTAAATAAATAAGTGTTCATAGGTAAATCATATGGTCTGCCCACTAATTAGTCTAAAGTTTCAAATTACCCATCATACAATTGTAAATAGTGAAGGATGCGCAAAAACTTTCATTTCATAACCTGTATGTTATACTCAAAAATATCTGTAATCACCATGAAATAATTAACATTGATATTAGGCTGATGTTAAATTGAGATTCTGTTTATATTCAGTGAGCTAATAGTTGTACAGATGAAGCGTTACACATTAAGAAAGCTTGTAATAATCATTTATATGGTGTACTCAGTAGCTAAGTGGATAATGCGATGACGTTTGGAACGAACGGTACTGGGTTCGAGTCTCTGGGTGAATATCAACTCTGGGATGCAGATACATCCAGCTGACAAGTTCCAAATAGGAGGAAACTCACTTCCTGGATTTTAATGGTGTACATTAATAACCAAACATTTAGAACCTTAAAGAGATTCAAGTATAAGTCTTGGGTTTTTAAGTAAAACATACACCTAGAATTATTTGTACTTTATTATATTGGGAGGTAAAACATTTGAATCATAGACCTCAATGGAAAAGAAACTAAAAATCGAAGTTGATTATCTAATATCACATGTCTGATTTTCATTTTCTCTTGATGACTAGCTGATATGCTTGAACGCTATTACGAGTTCACCTTACTCGGTGAATAGAACGAAGGTCAAAGATACAGTGACACGACAGGCTATTCTAATCCGTTGTCCCTGGCCCTGCTAACTAAATCAAGAAGTCTTGATGAGGCGTAGAGAATGTATTCTACAAGCACCCAGAATATACGAGATCACTAAGCACACAAATCAAGCTTATTTATACAATGATAGAAACGCCCTTGGAAGAGCCATAAAATAGCGTACTAAAAAAACCCGTCAACCAATGATAGTCAAGGAGTTCCGAATGGGAAATGTAAGCTGCAGGTCAACTAAGCGCGAAAATATAAACTTCAAAATTTCAGAATAAAATTACAGAATTAGGACCTTATCCAAGTGAGTTCTAGAGATTTAACATCCTCAACACTAGCACATATTCTGATCTTTTGTTTGAATCTAGATCAACTCTCTCCAACTCAAATTATTTTAAAGATTCTTAAAGGAAGTCCAACTATAATCTTTGTAAACTGACCTTACACTAAATTTTATATAAATCTCAAATGGCTAACCTTAAACATGAAAAGTAATTTTGAATACAATAACAAGTGACCTTACTTTAATTATCTTAATAATTCTGTCTCAATGAAATCATATCATCTTTCAATAGTTTCGATGTAAGCTTACTCTCTGAAACTCTCATCATATTGACCCTGTTATTTCAATAGCCAAGCTTTTTCTATGTATCTTAGTATAAATCAAAGTTTACTTATTTATTCTTCAATAAAATCAATTCACACTTTGTACTATTGTGTACTTTCTTTTCCTTATGGTCTATAGAAAAAGAAAAAGAGACTATGTTGTTTTTCACGTGCCTCTAACTGAAAGTTTTCGTAACGGTTGACACTTTAAATCTTTGAAAAAAACTTTTCAGGAAGGATTGTTTGGTGAAACATAAACTATCTAATCCATCGATGATTTCATTGTTATTTATAGGCTTATTGATTAAGGAATAAGGAAGAATTTCAAGAAAATGATTCGTTTTACCTAATACATATATTTACGCCTGCTACACATCGTGGAGGAGCATAGGCCGCCTACAAGCATTTCCATTCAACTCTATCCTGGACAATCCTTTCCAGTTCTTCCCAGTGGTTATTCACCCTGTAATGACCTACCTTTATCAAGAGAACGTGATTGGTGTAATGGAAACAATTATTATTATAACCAATTGTACCAGGGATTGTTTAACCGTACTTGTTTGTTTAACTGTACCAGAATACATACTTTCTTCCGTTGATTGTGACCTTGCACGAATTTGGTTATGCTCAGTAACTACACTTGTAACCTGGCACGATCTCGGTATTCTTTCAATACTACGAGATCGCCAGCAAATACATCTCGACTACAGCCATCAAATGCCTTCTGATATTTTGCTTACGGGGGATATTATCGGTCAATTGGCACATAGTCTTCCTGTAGTAGTGATCATAGTCAACCGCGACTCGACGCCATACTACAATCCTTTTGATGTATGCTTTCAATTTCTGATGCAGTGTATTCTTTGGTCTTTCTCTTTTCCGTTTCTCTTCAAGATCCCAAGTAAGCGCTTGCTTTGTGACATATATATACATAACATGTGAGCATGTGTTTGAAGAAAAGATTGGTAAGGCAAAATCAAACCAAATCAATAACTGGCAATTACTGTTATGAAAATGTCTTTTAATAAACAGCATTTGAAATGTTCCTTATATTCCATATTTATATCAAAGATTCTCTTACTATTTCAAATAAGCAATAATGAATCTAGTGATCATTCAATAGAATAAAGACAATGAAGGAAAACTTTCTTTCAGACATTACGATTTACTAATGATGTTCATTTATTTTTCTTTAACCCCTCCCACACCTTTCTTTTTCTTAAATATACGCTTCATTGTCCAATTATCTTATTACGTAATCTTGTAATTCCTATGAATGTTATGAATGTTTCAGTGTCTACATTTTTCTAATCATTGACCATTACGAAACATTGATTCAAGCCTTTATTATACTTATCACAAGTAGTACACTTGTCATCACACTAACGATTTGTACTTTTCACTTATTATATTTAGTTATGTAATCTATCCCACTGTTATCATTGACTCATAAACTACCTTGATTGGTTTAATAGTTTCGTATATGCATAAAAATATTACAGTATATTAGAGTAAAGCCTGATGAGGATCTAATCGAAAACAGTATTGTTCGTTTATATATGTTGTTCTAAATAAACATTGTGAATTAAACAAGCAAGTGAAAAGGAGTATTAGAACTGACAAACGTAAATATGTGGAAGATTTAGCAATGACGGCGGAAAAGGCTGCAAGAGAAGGAAACATGAGACAACTGTATGACACGACAAAGAAACTCTCTGGAAATCACCGTAAACCGGAGCGACCAGTGAAAAGAAAGGAAAGCAAGATAATCACCTGCATTGAAGAACAATGAAACAGGTGGGTAGAACACTTCAAAGAACTCTTGAATCGACCAGCTCCACTAAACCCACCCAACATCGAAGCAGCACCCACGGACCTCCCAACCGATGTTGGCCCACCAACAATTGAAGAAATCAGCATGGCCATCAGACAAATCAAGAGTGGCAAAGCAGCAGGACCAGACAACATCCCAGCAGAGGCACTGAAAGCAGATGTGGCGGCAACTGCAGAGATACTCCACATTCTCCTCAATAAGATTTGGGATGAGGGACAAGTACCAAAAGACTGGAAAGAAGGACTTCTGGTCAAAATACCAAAGAAAGGCGATCTCAGCAAGTGTGATAACTACAGGGGCATCACTCTTCTCTCAATACCGGGAAAAGTCTTCAACAGGGTATTGCTAAACAGGATGAAGGACTGCGTAGACGCCCAACTTCGTGACCAACAGGCAGGATTCCGTAAGGATAGATCGTGTACAGACCAAATCGCAACTCTACGGATGATTGTGGAACAATCAATTGAATGGAATTCATCACTCTACATCAACTTCATTGACTACGAAAAAGCATTTGGTAGCGTGGATAGAACAACAATATGGAAGTTTCTTCGACACTACGGCGTGCCTCAGAAGATAGTCAATATCATACAGAGTTCATATGATGGATTAAACTAAAAAATCGTGCATGGAGGACAGTTGACAAGGTCGTTCGA